TATTAATGACTGGATGGTTGTTAGGTATTCTCATAGATCTGCTAGAAAAATCTCAGATGAGTCCAGCAATATTCACTCTGATTAAATTCCTAACGGGGGCAAGCCCCTGTCCTATAACTGGAAGTAGGCGGTCTGTAGATTTGTTTACATAAGTCAAATATCTAGTGGTGCAAAATTTAAAAAAATGATAACGATGACGAAATATCGTTTGCTGTACGCATCCTCTTCCTTAACTTAGTTTGTTGAATTTACAGTTTATTTACAATGAGCAATGTTTTCCTTGGTTCCCCTCGTGTAGCCAGAGCCTGTTCTACCATACTATAGGTCTACGTGCTCTCGTGGTATTCCGGGAGAGCGATGTAAATTACGACCTTCGTATTTTTCTCTATTTTCATGCAAGAGCTGGAATTTTTCGGCACCCCTACCCGTACAGCCCCAACCCTAGCAGTTTAATATAGGAATCGATCTGAGAATGAATCTGAAATTTTACTACTTGGGAATCGCGTTTCTCGACTATACCATCCCCCTCCGCCTCTTTCTCCCCTGTTTTATGTCGTGCATTTTCACTTAAAAAAATAAATAACATCGATCCCATTTTACATCGTACGCCCACAGCGCCTACAATAAAGGGCTTCAACCTAGTTTACGACGACAATCCAAAGAGGGGACGGGAGATTGGCAGAAGATTCTTACGCTGAGAAAGTGGTCCTGCCTTCAGAAGTAATATGTAATGGCGCGCACTATGATCTATGTCTTCTAGAAAAATGGGTGAAAAATTAGCGCGTTCGCAGTTCGGATGTTATTGACTGATTATTTATTAGCACTCGTTCCGTCTTATTTTAAATTAACAGAAGTCTATTGGTTTACCCTTTACGCTGAACCGCGTATAGGACAAGGTTCAGGGCATCTTTGAATTTTGTAGAAAAATGTTCGGATGCTTCTTCCTTATTATCAGTTCATGACTGTCAACTTATTAGTGGTCTAGAAATAATGGTAAATTTCCGTGTCTCCATTAAATCAACTTGATTGAGACTGAGATCTGATGACATCGCGATTTTAATGGATCATGATGGTGACTGTATAGGGTCCACCTGAAGACTAAATGTCTGGTTTACCCATTGGCGATGTAACGTTGCGGAGCAGATGACGTAAGCCTATTGTTGAAATCGATGTAAGTCTCATCTCATCATGCATTCTCATATATATATATATCACATTGATGACCAAGTTCAAGCGTTTGTTCAGAACCCTAGGCGGTACTTTTATCTCCGTGGTGAAAAGTTATTGCCTTCTACTACGTAACCAGGTTAGGTTACGGGTCGTTTATTTCAGAGTTAAACACCAAAATTTTGGAACAGGCGGAAGATACAAGCCACCAAAACATTGGTTAACGCACGAACGAAAGAACGGCTCTTACGATGCTGGAGTCGTCTTGAAGCACGCACTACTGATCGATTTATGTGTACTGAGTTCCAAACTTTTTTTCCAATTTTTGCTACGATCAGCTCATTCAACAACGATACTCCGAAAATAGTTGCTGGAAGGACATGTGAGAAGTGAAATTCACACTTTTATTTTATGAACACATGGCAACTGCGAAGCCATATTTTCTAAAATATCCAACGTCAACTTTCTCATCAAGGGATCAAGCAATCTATTATATTTCGAACAGTACATTTCAATAGGGTCAGCTTTTGCAGCAGATGAGATGTTCTCCGGGCGTACCCATTTGCAACTTCATTCTACTGTATGCAAACCAGTGTAAAGACCCGACTGAAACCGGCGTGGAAACGAATACCCAACCTAACTCACTCCCTATTAATTTTTAATTCTCCGTGTCTATAAGTATGCCTGTCGCTACGTTTAATAAGAATAAGTTCAAGTTCAAGGGTAAGGCAATATAAACGTTATTTCTCTATGTACCCCAGCTTCTTGCCATTAACAATTCGATTGCACAAGGATATTAGCGATAGGGGCTCTAGCAGTGGAATAAACTACTATTACCAGCTACCGAAACGAGATATGTTATTGCAGGTTAATATGTTGGTGGGCCGCGACAGGGGTCGACAGCTCGGTAGCAGTGGAACCGTTTTGTTTCGTCTGTAGACGAACGCGATGCAGTTTATTACCTTCGTCAATTGGTTGAAATGTCTATCGCGTCAGGCAACACCAGAGCAAAAAGGAAACACTGAAAAAGAGAAAAATCGGGCTAATTAGGGAAAGTGAAGAACATCGTGTGTACAGGTATTAGACAACAGTTAAAACACCTGGCCAGCGATAACATGGTAATGAGTATCTGGAGAAAAGTACACCTAGCAACGGAAACCGAGGCCCTATAAAAGCAATAGCAGTCGTGGCAAGTGATGATGGCGCTTTGGCAGTTATTAGAGCAAAGCTCAAGCAGCCTATTGAGAATACTCAGGTTTTTTTTTATATCATTTATGCGCTGTTCGATTGGGATGGCTCGCCTAAATAGGACTGATACTCGGAACTTATCCGCGAGAAAACTTCTTCGTATGAGCAGAGAGGGGTCGCCTTCCTAGAGGCAAATCGCCCTGGTTTCTTCGAGATACTACTAGAATTGGAAATTAATGAATTCAGGTTGTCCTGTTTAAGCAATGATTAATTGTTCTTAGACGAAGCGGGTCTATTTTATCTATTGGTAACCGTTGTACTCTATTACTATTACATGATCGAATAAAAATGATGTCTGTTTATAATAATGTACCTGGACGCAAAGTGTTGCCAACTCCTTTTATACTTCAAATAGGTACACAAATATTGACCGTTTCTCTAGCTAGATGTATACATATACAAGGTCATATGAATGCCGCGTAAGGTTGGTATTGATGTCCTTGTAAAGATTTGACAGTTTTAGCTAGGGTCATTTGAAAATGTCTGTCTATTAAAATAGCTAGGTATTTTAGCTTGAGATATAAAAAAACCTTCTTCAAAAAGCCAAAATAACTATTGGCAAACCAGCAAAAAAGCGGTATAATTAGGGGGTGACTATCGCTAGTTCAAACTTTAAACTCTGTTAAATGGTTTATAGATCTTTTGGAAGAATTCAAAGTAAGTTGAGCAAGACTTACTTCGGAGGAAGGGCAAGTTCTCGGTTCAAGGAAGGATACCGGAGAGGCGATTTCACGATCTTATTCACACAGTAAAAAAAAAAAAAAAGTCGGCGACGTTAAAAAAGTTCGTCCACCACACAAGTCATTCGCAGTTAAATCAAATGCTAGTAAATCTTCTCTGGATAAGCCACAACTGCAACACAGACGATGTTAGAGCAGTCTTTAGTTTCTTCGACACATCAAGCCTATTTTTTGAACGAACGAGAACGTAGTATTAATTTCTAAGTTATTCCATTAGGTAAGTATCGTCTCGACTAAATTTAACTTCACTGGTTTCACCATTGGCATTATTCGGCTGAGTTCAAACGGCCATTGGCGAGCTATCACTCGTTATGAGTTAGGCTTCAAAGCCTTTAGTCCTTGAACGGATCGATCTTTTTCGTCCACTTTGCCTGGTGTGCAGTGCCTACGATGAAAGGCAATGTAAGTTCGGGCTGATGCGAAGAAACCAGTCAAGGAGATATATGTCTCTCCTATGGAGGGCATATCCAAAGTTTGAACGGTTCATTCGAGCTTGATGATGGACAATCGCTAAAAGGATCCATCACTGATTTATCTTCCTCTGTTTTTTTTTTTCTTTCGCGCCCTGATATCAGTGACGAGCAGTAGATTCCACCATAATGCCTGCTTGCTTCGGAAAGCACTTAACGAGACAGCAAGCTTTTACCTAAAACAGCGTCTGTATGGAAAAAGTTAGAATTACTGATTGTCAGTTAAGTTTACCTGGTCTATTTAATTACTTGTGTCGACACGAATTATTGCCGTGAATTGAGAAGTATTATGGTTCTTAATAACGATTTTTATAGTTACTAGAGTTTTTACTAGAGTTATCTTGTAGCAGTTAAACCGACCGTATCATCTCGCTACAAGGAACTAGACTAACATTTCTTTTCATCTATCGCTTAGATTAAATTAATCTAATGTATTAATTCGATATAAGATGTATAGGAAAAAAAATAGTATATTTTCGTTATGTCGGCGTGGAAACAACGTACTATAGGGTGACATTCGTCACCCCACGTGAACAGATGCAGTGAAGGGGCAACCAAAGTTCTATACAATTTTATATAAAAAAAAAAAAAAAAAGTTCATCTACTGGGGCTTATAGGATTATATGCGACAAAGTGATATAAGTTCCTGTTTTTTTTTTAATCAAAAGGAAGATCGATTTAAAATGTTTAGATTTACAAATTTTAAAATGCTAGGCTATAGGGCAACTAGGTTTTTTCATTTCATTGAACCTTTGTTAAGCGGTAAATTAGTAAAGTTTCTACTCTATCTGTCCCTGGGCTACATTTTTGATAACAAAGTAAAGGCAAGCTACGTTATCTTAAGTAGAACTACATGATTTCTATGTAGGCCAGAATGAAGTGAAAGTACGTGGGTTATCGCATATATGAAAAATAGTCGCCATTGCTAATTTTTATGGAGAAGGCGAGTGAAACGTGCATATCTTATTTTTGCGCTTGCTGAGGCATATTCTGTTCTAGTGCGTATGCATCCACATGTGTCTAATGTAGCATATTGTAGACTTCAGTACGGTCAAGTCCGCTTTGAAGAATGCGTCCCTTACTTCATTGAAAAAAGCATATATCTTAGGCCATTTCAAACCCCATCATACATTGCGCAAAACCAGTTCATGTAATGGACGAACCATGATCACAGTTCTCTCCCGAAAAACAAATGGAAAAAAAATGGAAAAAAAAAAAACATTCTTTCTCTTGAATGACACGTTTGTTTGCACTAAGCCAGTAGTCGTATGTGTATATTAAGACATATATTAGGATATATGTGTAGTTTAAACAGTGTCACCATTGTCGTCAAACCGTATAAGCTAATGAGTCAACTTGCTCAAATGTTTTCCCATTGCCGTTCTGTTTGCTTCATTCTTTATCGTACGAGCTATGGCCACCGCGGTTGCTAAATCAGTTAGGTGGACTTCCCTCATCGCGGCCGAGTCGTTGTACAGCGAATTTGAAATGGGTCGAGTGACATCAAGTAATAGTGCTATTACAGCTGCTGCCCTCTGATATTCTCCCGTGAAGCTCTTGTCTGCAGCCCACGTGCCTTGTCTTTTCGCCTGCGTAAGTGCGAGCCTCGACTGCTCTCCTGATGTGTCGCCCTATACGGGTTATAAACACCAAACAAATGGTCGTATTTTTTCCCATCATTCTTCTCTCTTTTCCTGGCTTTGTGAACTCCACGACGTCTTACGGGACCGCGACTGGAAATATCGGCACCGTCTTCGCAGACGATGCATTGAAGCAGACGGCGCAGCATGGCGAACGTCGCCGGCAAACCACACCGAGCGAGTTCGCTATACACAAAGTGAACGCACACTTCAGCTGACCGACCTGGCAAAAATAGATGTTTGTTTGGCATTAGCGCTAGAATAGACGTTGATGACGATGAGAGATCTTTTGCATTGTATCTGCCTTAATTAAGCACTGCTACTTCAAACTTTCGAACATCATAAAACGAAGCGTTTACGTTCAGCCAACTTTGAAGCCAACATTTTAACTCGTGTTCGTTTCGTCATTAGCTACAGACGCACTAACTATCATTTAACAATGTAAAGTGGTCAGATTGACGAAACGAGATGTGAAGTAAGGGCAATACGTTGCACAGGCTCTACCGGGATATCGCTGCATCTGACAAGAAATTCGAGAATGATGTGTTTACTTTCGGTAAGGCGTGATGCCACGTCGCGAGGCAGTTCCGTCGCGAAAGGCTTCCGGTCGTGTTATATATTGTTATATAATATTTATATAGAATAGGTGGAACGTTCTAGAAAGCTGTATTCATGCTAGTGATTGTGATGTGCGGATCCACTAGGCTAGATAGGTCCAAGAGACAACAAGTTCGAATGAAACATACACCGACTATATAAATATAGGACAAAAAAATAATTGACTTTGTCTGTGATACGTAAACTGGTTCACCCACGGAGGTCGTTGGCATCATCGACTCGTTCGGGGCGCAGGCTCGTCGCAGATTTCTAATTGAAATCGCGTAGAAAGTGAGTAAGAAAAGAGAACGGGTTGTCGTTTTCAGAGCTATTGCTTAGGTTCGTGTTATTTGAAATAATAAAGGTAAGATCCGTTTTGCGTTTGGAAAGATCCAATATATTTTCTGGCTTAGTTAGTATATGACGCTGTTACCCGATTCCGTCAGTTAGTGATGCGACTTGTCAGAAGTCTCAGCTGAGGTGATTAGGTGAGACAACTGAAATTGACGGTAGATAATGGACCTCAGTTGTTTATAGTGAATGCAAAATAACAGCGTAGAAACAAATCCGATACAAATGCAAGTGTAGCATACGATTTAGTATATAGAGTAGTACCTATATGCTTTGCTCGCACATTTGGATTTAATTTTTTTGTGGTTATTATTGAAAACAAAGCAAATACGCTAGTTTATCGGTCAAATCGGTAACTGATAAAAGTTAAACTAGAGGGAAGAAGGTTATATTTTTTTTTATTCAAAGAACAATTAAATCTAAATATTTCTCTTGACAATACATGGATCAGAAGTGAAGTTGTTGACGGATAGCTCTGTTGCAGCCTGTAAAGCAAAGAATATATTAAACGATCTCTCCGGGTCGGCTTCTTGTTAGCGTATAGGGCAGACAATAAGTTGAGTGACCATGTGGCGCATATAAGAATGATGAAAACAAAACGTTTCGATCGATACCAGAGTAGTCGTTTTCTTGTTGCGTTATTTGAGAACTCTGAAGAGCTCTTCGTTTGCCTCACGAAGTGCATCACTTTTAATCTTCACTTGTTGTTAAATATTACTAATTGTAGTGGATATATATATATATATATGCATATATGGCGATGAAACTTAACGGCAGCGCAAGCACCACCTTAGTGCATCTTAGTGGATGTACTCCAAAATACGTTAGCAATGGTTGAGAGCTTGACATCTACGAGGTAGGCATTAAAACGTGGCAAGATTAAAAAGTGAATCAATGGGATCAAATGTTAATTGAATCAAAGGAAAAGGACGACACGAAACTAGTATGGGTAATGCAATAATAATGTGAATGACTGTGTAGGAAGAACTGCTCTTTTTTTACGTATACGGTATGTTGTCAAATACAATTCTGGCAACATTCTTCTCATCATGAACGCGCACTAGAAGGCTGACGATGTCTGCATTTTTTTTTTTAAATCTGGTACTCTTTAACAATCTGAATATACTCGATATTTTTTACACTATCGTTTCCCCTGAAATATCACCACAGACAGTCCCACTGTTATGAGCAGACAGCGATTGATTGGTTGGTACCACAGCTTTGGACGGCGGGATATTTGCTTCTTCTAATTAGAAAGCAACTCGTCATCTTAGCAGTCATAAGCGACCATGCTCGTGACAAGCGGGATTTCGAACCGTACGCGTACCAGAAAAACAGATCTTTCACAAATTTCTAGATACTCCTCCTTTATGAGATTCTCTTTTTCATCCACTGCACTGAACTAGCAATAAATAAGAATATCTGTCTATGTATGATTCTACGGGAAGCACATAAGGGACGAGGAATGTCGCTGACGACGTCTGCCTCGGAGTCAGCGTTGGTTGGGCCAGATCACAACAGCGATAAAGCGGATGCTTTGAGCGATGCTTCCGATTTGAAAACAACTCCGCCGGAGAAAATGACACCCGAGGGGTCACCCGAAACGGACCAGTTGACGCTTACTTTCAATGAAGCAGCTGATCTGCCCAAGACGATGCTCTTATTTCAGCCGGACGCGTACCTCGCGTTGTTTCCTTACTGCCAAGCTATTCTCAGCTCAAACAAAGTTCTGGTGAGAAGCAGGTTTAGTACAATCTATTGACTGGGAGTTTAGTCTGTACAATAAGGCAATGTATTTGTTCATTTAGACCAGCAAAATACCACAGTCGCGGAATGATTCCGAATTTGTATCATTAAATGTCCAATGGGTAAGTCCTTCGTACGTCCTAAAATTGAGTTTACTGTCTGAGATGCAGACTCATCCGAAGGGTATTATTGTTATTCTATTACATTTGTCCCTTTTGGTTTAATCATATTGCGTTCTAGGACAAAGACGACAAAATAGAGTCGATTGGAATGTGCGTGTCCGCTATGATCGTTGCGGAGCTTGATGCAATTGCCGCCTCGCCTGGTCAGGAGTACCGCCGACAAACTGCGAAAGCCACTCTTCAGCTGGTCTCCTCGGCAGCGCAGAAAAAAAATCCGTATCTGATTCGTGAGAGTTGCGCCTACGTCAAGGATCTTCGTCATCCTATGGGGACAAGTCTTAAAAATGAACGTATTTATGAAATAGCACAAGTTCTAGAATCCCGTGGTAAGTTAGACGGTTAAGATGTTCGAAATATTAGAATTAATGCATATATTAAATTATTAAAAGAATATGAGTGAGATAATTTAGGCTTAACTGAATCTCGGGGTACGTGCTTGGTCTAAACAAATGTGTAAATGTGTCAAGTTCTGTGTCTGGTGCCACTGAATTAATCAAGCTGCTACCATATTCCCAGCACGAATCTAACCATGGGCTTGTCTGCACCAAATCTAGGTTTCGAATCTAACTCGTCACATAAGTTCCTAAGTTTAGTCGTTAACAACTTGATTACCGCACCATCTCACGTGGACGGGTTATTGTCGATCTGTGAGAACCTGTTACACTACGAGATCTAATATGTGCGTGAGTGTTTATCAATAGAATTTTCTCTAATTTAGAATTAATTAAGTGCGCAAAGGCTCGTTGTGTGACTGAGAATTTTCAAAGAGCAAAAAAAATAGTTGAAAGTGATTTGCGAGTATAAAGGACGACGACACGTAAAAAAAGGAAACGTTTGACACATGTCAAACATGCTTAATTAATTAGGTGTGTGTAACTGAATTCTACCCAAGTATATATTTTATAATAAATTCTAGGTTTCAAATAATACAACGCCAAAATATTACAGGGGTCATTTTTTCAATTATATTCAATTATAACACACCCTTTTTGAACTTCCGCCCATTTTTCTTTGTTTTATTTGTATTTTGTTTTTGATAATTTTTTACCTTTCTAGGTCACATATTTATACACGCACGTGCCAAATTTGTTTTATTTGCCTACTTTTATACCACAACGCAAATAATTAGTTGGATTTGCTAATGGTTCTTGGTATCACTGTTATGCCTTGCAGGCTCAAAATTACTTGTCGTCACAAACGAGGTCTATCTTCAGTCAAAGTTATCCATGATAAAGCTTCCATGGGTTAATATAATAGATTTCCTCACGCAATATTACTGGCTCACGCCTACCGTGAACGAACATATCATCGAGAATCTGCACACGATCGGAGAAGAGGCCATGCTTCGGTCAGTACGAACAGTCTTTAAAAGCTAAAAGTAAATAGTCACTATGTAGACAATGTCAAATATTCCATCACCGACGGGCCGCATGATACACGTCAGTCTCGACACTATCCACACTAGAAATTTTTCTACAACAAAAAGACCTATTTTTTGACCCATATTAGTACATTTATTTACAAGACTAATTATTGTGTAGGTCTATTGAAAGGAAGATTAGAATCGATTTTGTAACATGAAGAACACTGGCAATGATGCACTTCATGACGTACCTGTGCTTATCAACCACCATGAGGACAGGGTACTCGCGACGCGTACATGAATGTGGTCGAATAATATTTACAGCCATTTTAAATGTGCCCTGGGTCGCGCAATTGTAAAAGGACTTCCGTTTGCAACTCTCATTTCAATATATTGTTGCCGCTTATATTGGAGACACAGGTTTGCCGAAACGATTGTCACATCTATCGTTTGGAAGGGAAGCATCGCGCTTATGGCGCCTTTGCCGATGAACATACGGCTCAGTATGTTTCCCCCAAAGCCACTAGACGGGGTCCTGCATGACATCGGTCTGCACCGAAAAAATTTACAGGATAGAAACGCAGTATTTGGTAAGAACACCCATTTGCCTAATACGATGTGTTTTTCATTAGCGCCTTGGGTTAGGTTTCACAGGTTCCACTATTGTTTTCATTAACTTCCTCCCATATGCAAGTAGTGCCGTTCCCTCAGATAAGCTGTGTGAAATGTTCATTTTTAACGTATTCGATGTTATTTACTAAAATCTGCACAGAACTATCTCAGCCTATAGACGAATATCATCAAAAACAAGCTCCTGAAGAGAATGAATCTGAGTAGATCGCTCAATAACAACATGTGGAAAGTAACATTAGCATCGTAACCTAACCCAATTCTTCAACTAAAAGGCCAATTTGCAAGACTCAAAATTGCACGAAATTTTACTTTATTTCGATATAATTTCGAGCCCAAAATTGATACGAGTTTCTGCTTCACGTTTGTTCTGCCTGTTTTAACGTTTTTTTTACAGCTGAAATAATCAATTTCCAACAGGTCGATAAGACAAAAGTTCTGCTAAATGTGTTCCACGCAACACCTACAAGTCTCGAACGCACTATAAATTTTTTGGCTTTTCTTAAAGAGGCCATCTCTCTCTGCCAGCCTATTGCAAACATGTTCGTTAATATGACCAGCCGCGTCTATCTGTTAGACATCGTCAGCGGTGCCCTTTACGATCTCGTATCTCCCAACCCCGCAAAGTCTTCGCTCGCAACAGTGTCTTCCGAATCAACGTTCCGCGACTCCACGTCCGCGCATTCAGCTGAATCCCATTCAAGATCGGGCTTGTCTCAGGAATTGTCAGATTTGCAAAGCAAACCTTCAGAGTGATGTACGATGTCGCCGTCTTCAATGTGGGTTTCACCTGGCGACGTACATGTATTGGCCGGTAGATAGTGCTACTGCCCGATGCCTTTCATTCTTTATGTCATTCTCGAAAAGTGCTGACAAATTGGAAACAGCAGAATCGGTGACGACTTCAATACGTATGATCATTTTAGTGGCAAAAAAATAGGATAAAATGGAGGTAAATGTTTGACAAAAAGAGTCGCCTATGCAGCGTTGAGGGTTGTTGAATAGGTAATAGTTTCTCGGTAAATACATACTGTATACCGGCATAAGCGTTGATTACTAGGTGGCACTCTCAGATTTCTTTGAGTGAACAAAGAAAGATAATCTATTTATATACAAAGTGGTAAATTTCTCACACAATGGCAATATATCTAAGTGGTTCATTGAAATATCATTTCTTATTAAGACATTTTTTCATTCTTTCGGCCCGGTTGAACGAATCCGAAAATCCTCTAAAGTAACTTGGTTCGCTTCCGTCACAGTGCTAGAATCCATTAGACGTGTACGTTCCAGACAGTACGAACACGTCCATATATATATATATATATATACACATACAAACATATAAGAAAACAGAGAAAGAACACCGATTTATGCATTGGTACTTTATTGCTTAAGAGTAAAAATGGCATTATAAGAGTAACATCTGTTCGATTACACTCAATAAAATTATCATCTGTAGACACAGGGCTATACCCTAGTGCTATAACGAAGCTTACAGACATATATGTATCCAAATAAAATCTATTTTCTAGTTGGATCTGTAAGGCAGCTAATGCGAGCAGGTAGAGCGACCAAAAAGATTAGTTGTTTAACCTAACCTCTTAAAGGACTTTTTGTATGCAAAAGTTACCTTATATATACCTCTCATGATGATTTTATGATTCTCTTGTGAACTGCGCCTGTGAACACGCTGCCTATGTAAATTATAAATAAAATTTGTTATTAAACGGGAAAATTTTATATTAGTAAAGAGTGAATTGTATTTGATCAATGAACGATATCATGATTTGATTACCGGTGCTTTGCTTGCTGAACCTAGTCAGTTTCGCCTTTTGTCCTTCGCATTTATCTAGTACTGACATAATAAATTGCGAGAGATACAATGTGATTTCGAGGATAAACCAAAACAATGCCCTCAGACGACGCCGTTAGCTTACTTTCCCGATAGAACTTAAACTACGGAAGATAGTTACGGAGGATCAAAAGTGATTCGTCTGGTCGAATCATTCAGATAAGGCCAATATGTAGTACGATTTTATCGGTAGAATTAAATGAAACCCTACTTCCAGTTACCGTCAAACGTTTATTTGGTCAGGGACCCTGTCATAATGTGTTGGACTGCTCGACCTGTCGTTTTTATCGATTGCGAGAAAAACGCCAAATAGGCGAATTAGCGTGGCGTTTTATTTAATGTGTTGTTATTGAACATTTATTTTTGTCCTTTTGCTGCTTGCGTAATAAGGAATAAGTTGATGCTGTAAATTCTATAAGGCTGTCCTAACTATGGGCCGTTACGTCAATCACAATTGCGTTCTTTTTGTTATTATTACTATTTCATTAATAGGTGCCGCTTGTTACATTACAAAGCGTTTATTATTTGTCGTAGGAGAAAACGAATGTGGTCGTTTACGTGAATCGATCGCACGATGACCCACTTTATTTCTCTGGGCCTTTGGTATTAGGCAAACGATATGGCTCTTCTATGAAATTTGCTGCGTTGAATACTCAGCATAGTATATATGCACCATTTACTAGACATACTTGCCACACAGCGAGATGTAAGTAGCTCTGTTTGTTTCGATAAGTAATCCTGCGGGCTGGCGCCGTTTTACGCAATAATCAAAAGTAACAATCTTTTTTCTGCTTGTTCCTTAACGACAACTAATGATATGATTTGTTTAACAGAATAACCAATGCTATGAGATTTTGAAGCCTACAACGCTGCTGCCACCTTTGCCAAATACAGTTATGGAAAAATTATATATTATGTAGTGTTAGAACTATATACTACCTGTTAATTACTACGGGCCGTCAGATCCAAGGTGCCAAAAGGCCATTAACGAACTTTGTCGCACCTTACCGATGCAGTCATATGTGCTACTTTGGTTTTAGCTAATCTGAAATCCTATCTAGATCGACGATACTGATACGCGGTTTTATTGCAGTCTGCTGCAGACCTCTGTTCAAAAATTTAGCCAAATTGTATGCAAAGTGTTCGCACGACTATCTATAATTCGACGCAACTGCGACTTGACCACCACCTTTATTTCATCGACGTCTCCCTATCAGTCTTTTTCGTCGCCGTTGGACATTCTCACGGCTATCTGGCTCCCAGTATGAAGCGGACTGTGTCCGCGCTGGGACCGAACCCAGATTACCATAAGTCGTTTCAGTTGACCACACGAACACGTTGCATTTACGCCATCACGCTATGACTGGGCTGTATTGTCGAAGCTACCAGGCGTATCCGACGAACGTAGAGGAAATCAAATTTGTTGACGAGCGTCAACGATTTAATTGTCACACGCTTGACGCTTTTAAAGGCCGCGAACTAATCAGGATCTGAGGCTGTTGATTGGTGCAATAAAAACAAACGGTGCATTGTACTGAATGGTCCCTTTGGAGAGGAGGCCGCAAATGCCAAGCGAATTTGTCTACATTATTAGCTGACAAGGGCCGCTTGTTTCTGGTTTACTTCGTTTACGAGGACATATTCATGGCCTGCTGTGTAATGACGTACACAGTAACAGCTACCAGTGGCCTATTGAAATCAGGAATGCAGACCACATTCTAATGGAGCCTATTTCACTTGATCGATGGAACCGCACTTAGTTTTCTGCGTATCAGAAGCATAACCTTCAGATTACAGGTGCCAGCAAATTATGCAAAAAAATTATAGCCATTTGCAATCGATCGGTAGTGAACAGAGGGGTTTCGAAAAATAGGTTTTTTTTTTGCGTTCTGTGGGGGATTCTGTGTACACTGAGGACGACGACTACTGTCGACTGCACGCGCCAATAAAAGAAACTATAACCCGTTTAACACTCATTGCCTAGGGAGGTTATTAGGAGCTTCTGGCTCCGTTCATTGGCATCTCTACAGAGGGTATGGCATTCAATTCTACGGCACAACTACAGCTTGTAAGAAAGGCGACGACATATTGCGGTTAACCCCAATGTTTATTTCCAGACTTACCCTGACCGTAAAGTGGTATTAAACTGTGATTTCGTCAAGGTAACTCGCGTTTCTTAGTTGCTTGAGATATGAGAACGCCCATTTTATAGCTTAAATACTGATATAGCTAATAATATGATGCGATACTGAATATAAGAGTTTCTTTTGAACGGCATCATAATCTCGTAATGACGCATATACGCAAGACAGGTCAGCAACTACTTTTCTCGAAACGATGCTAACTTATAGTAATATTTGTATATATATATATATGACATAAGGATGATGGTACTTGCTATCACTATCGACAATTTGTACCAAACTGTCGATAGCCAGAATCAGCCAGCGGTCATTGCCAGCCGAAGTGGGACACGTAAACTAATATAGATCAACTATCGGCATCCAATGTTCGGCTTTTTTAACTTTTGACTTACCATCATCATCATCATCACCGTCATAAATTATTTTCAAAATGATATTTATGTATATGTTGCGGAAAATAATGTTGTGACAAGCGAAGCTCATTTGAATGAAGCTACATAGTAAAGGGGCATCAGTTGTAACACAGTAAGGTCCTTTACTCGGTTCCACCACTTTTGCGTCAGCTATCATGGGAAATTTTCCTATAGGCATTAGTCTGCTCTTTGGGGCATTGTAAAGCAGCTTCGACTGGCTGATGCATCTCTCCTGCTACCTAGGAAATGTAGTCGACCCATTTCTACCTTCTCTACAAGCGTCGCGTAGATTTAATAGACCGTGTTCGCAATATATGTCGATTAGAAATCTTATGCAATGATCTATCTGACTTTATGTTCGAGAGCTAGCTCAACAACAGCCGTCTGAACATCAGAACTACGAGACTACAAAGACACGAAATTTTCTGGTGAGACCGCTTTTCAAGAGAGCGTTTCTCTACGAACGCCAACTCACAAAACGAATTTTAATTGAAGACATCTTCTATTGAAAAAAACATGTTCCTTTGTAAACACTTGTTCCAAAAACTGTGCAATACATTCTTGCGAAGAAAGCTGCTGAAGACTGCTAAGATTATGAAAGAGAAACGCTTCTCTCGCTCGTATCGATATTCCTGCTGAAGTTCTAATTACTCAAAATGAAAATAGTAATCCGTTAAAGTCGCCGGCGGTTCGGGACGGCATTAGGTATAAACGCGGTAACTTGCTGTACCATTCAACTATTTACGATACAAAGGAGAAAGGCTCGCCTGTTGAACACGTTGATAAAAGCTGACTTTTTAGCCACGTAACTTAAATTTTTAATTAAAAATAGTTAGAGAAATATTATATATGTATGTGATGTTGATTTATCTAATAATACCTGTGGATATTCTTCAGCTTCATCTGATCAGCTGATTTGAACTACCGATTAAACGAGTATAACAAAATGTTCATAATATTCGTCCAGATGAAAGATATCAACTGCCACTTGTCGCCTATACTAAAGCTACGGTTCCTGTTAGCCAAACCCTTTACGAACGAAAGCTAGATCTGCTCGTGTAGCAGAAAGTACTTCTAAACAGTTATAGACGAGGTGGCAACATCGGCCAATTGAACTTACAACTTAATACACTGATCTCCGCTAAACTTTCGTACCAAACAACAATTAAGCTGTTTATGGCGCATAAAAATACCCAGACACGAAAAGAAGATCGATGTGCCATAAATGATACAATCAACATCGCTTAGCTGCTGTTCTGATCGAACTAAAAAGCACTGCAGCCAAATTCAAATATATACCCCCAAAGATTCGTATACTATAGCGCGAATAAGGAGTAATCACGCGACTGGTGGCCTTGGCTCTCTGACGGTTTCCGCTTTCGCCGCGCTAGATAATGATACCCTATGCCCTCCCACCACTTTCGAACTTCACCGATAATAAGTATAATCATTATGTCATATCTAAATCGTTTAGCAAACTTCCAACTACCGAAGGCTGAAGCTCGAAGGCAATAGTAAAAGTACTCTCAGCAGGGGGCATAACACGCGAGCCTCTGTAAAGCATTGGTCTATATTTCATTGCGATTGAGATCCATTCATGTGATGTACTGTGATTTCTAAACGAGCTTACAAAAAGTCTACATCATAGAATAACACCTGCAGTGTTATTCTATCAGCAACCGACCGTCGTTGAATTGTATGCCCATCGTCCGTAAGCTTCCCCTTCGTGGCTGCTTTCCGGCGATATGTTTGATTGATTTTAGCTATATCTGCAAACAAAGTGAAATAATAGTACAAGTTAATGTGATTCGGTCACAAATACATAATGATAAAGTTTAGTTGTAGTTTGTTTCGTTAACACTTACAAGTTAATTACTGCAAACAAGCGTCCCTTTTGTCGGTGGACGTATCTAAACGCGTCGACAACTGCTCATCGTCCCAATCAGCGAGACGATCACAACTTAGTTTTAGAAATTACTTTTCTGAAAGGACAACGTACCTTTTTTATACTGATTACAGCGGTATATGGTCGTTAGCCATGGGCAGCTAAAGCACTGCGGAAAAATCGGCTAGGTATAAAACAGCCGTATGTACGTCGACAAGTCTGGCATATTATTTAATTTAATAATAACATGACGCACATATAAAAGACCGAGATATTCGTGTTCTCGGATGTTATACCGTCTACCATAGCACCGCAGTGACGTTATACCTTATACGCCTAACGAAAATTTAAAACTGAAAAAAGCAAACAAATGTCGCCAACGGGCCATTTCTGGGCCCGTTGGAGTGATGGAGTAATAATAGTAGTAATATCAGTAACTAAATGTTTAAGACAACGATGCAAGTCAAATCGCAGACTTATATATATAAACACGTACCCTTTGTCTTGGACTAAAAATATTTAATTGTTTGGAATCTAATTTACTGACTACTGCT